TGTGGGTCGGAATTTAAACGACTCAAAACTTCGTTATTAACTTAGAAATTTTTTCAAAAATCTTAAAGACTTCTAGTGTTCCACCTTAGACTTCTGGCACACTACACATGAGTACACAAATTCCTCTACTCCTCTCTTCATCTTAGGCCACCACGCTTCCACTGCGCCACTCTAATACATCTTAGTAGCTCTTAAATGAATGCTAAGAGTACTCTTATGTCCTCCCTCTAAGATCATCTTCCTAAATTCAAGATTACTAGGCACATAGATCCTATCATTGAACCCCAAAATACCATTAACTTCCACTCGTAAAGGGCTATCTATACCCCTACCAATCCTCTCCACTTGGTTCACTAAGAAAGGATCTAACTCCTAGGCTTCTCTAATCTCATCCATTAATTCACTAGTCACTTTCGACATACTCAATTCAATGCTTATAAGGGTAAGCTAAAACATCACGCTTAAGTTTCTGACTCTTCAATCAAATCCAACCCTTAAATCATCAAAGATGGTAGGTGAATGGTCATCCTACTCAAGGCATCGATCACCACATTGGCTTTTCTTAGATAACAACTAAGATTAAAATCCTAGTCCTTAAGAAATTTCAACTATCTCCTTTGGTCAAAAGATATTTAAGGCTCTAACGATCACTAAATATCTCAAGTTTAGAATCATATAGGTAGTGTCTTCAAATTTTAGTGTAAATATCATAACTGCTAACTCAGGGTCATAGATAAGGTAATTCCTCTCATGAATTTTCAATTGCCTAGAAACATAAGCTACTACCTTTCCTTCTTGCATCAACACTCCATCCAAACCTATCTTAGAAGCATCACTATATATCACAAAAGACTTACTAGAATCCAGTAATATTAACACTAGTCAATCTTTCCTTAAGAGTTTGGAAACTACTCTCACACTTACTATTCCACATAAAGGCAAATCTCTCTTCCTGGTCAATCCAGTCAAAGGTAATGCTATCTTAGAAACTTCCTCAATAACTCTCCTATAATAATAAGTTAATCTAAGAAAACTCTTAACCTCACTAACTGACTTTGGTATCTCCCACTTAAGTACAACTTCTACCTTAGATAGATCTACATTATACCTCCACTAAAATTTAAAAGACCTAGAAAACTCACTTTATACAACCAAAAATCATACTTAGATAACTTAGCCTAAAACTGTCTTGGATAAATCCTCACTCTTAACTCCAATCTAATGATATCACACCTTGAGGTCAACCTTACTAAACACACAAACATCCAATAATTAATCCTCGTATCAACATACACACATAACAAATCATCTTAGAATACCTACTTCAAACATTTGATATGTATCATCCCTAAGCATGTACGAATCAATCACCATTTACTCCATATAACATGTACATGAACCAACTTTACCACCTAGTATCATAAAACCTTAAACAACCTCTCAGTCCACATGACAACATCTCAGAACATCATGACAAAATCAGTTTTTATCCTTGCATTGCCTAACAACTCAAAAATATCATGATACCATACATATTCCTTCAACAACTATCAAAGAAAATGATACCTAGAGAGTAATACTCATCCAAATGATCTCAAACCTATCTCAAAAGAAATCTAAGAGAATAAGCTACAACTCTTATGAAGTCATGAGATTCTAAAAAGATCATCTTCTTAGCTAAAAATTCAAAAACCACCACAGATATATTCAGCACTTACAACTAGACCTTTGATCACTAAAGTAGCTATAACTAGAGTTCTAGACCTCCATTTTACTTTATTCTAGTTCCATTGGAAAAATAACGTCCAAAGCTACAACTTTTGTGAATACCATAAAATATAAATCTGTCAATAAGGTACTCATACTGGCACAACAAAAATGCAGAGAAAATATCCTCTACACGAGACAGCAATAGTGTATCAATATATCTAAGGCCACAAAAATACTTCAACCCTTCCAAACTCACACCTCAAGTTCATATTCAAGATTCCCACTACAATCCTAAACCAAAACAACTCACATATTTAGCACAACAGACTTAGAAAATATAACTCACATGCTACCTAAACCATAAAAGATTAACATCCAAGCACCAGTACTCAAGGAAATCACCGACATTTCAACCTTTCATTAAGAACACTCAACTCCAATTCTCAACATATAACCTCTTAAGATTCAATCGCTACAACTATAAGTTTCAGAAACTCCATCAACCATAAACTCTCAATACACTCGAAAAATCAATTTCTCACCCACATCCAAGGTTCCAATAGTTTCTAGTTGATTAGCACAATATATCGTCTACTACTACTCGCACATATGCTTGCAACAAAAGCGATATCACTCATCCACTACTTCTTACGTAAGCAAGAAGTATCAAACAAATAAGCACTCACTTGATTATATTTCATATGAGATAAGGATGTGCTATTTTCTATGAAGGTTGCCATTTCACATTTAGTGATTTG